GAGCTGTATGATGTTTGGCAATAATTTCCTTTTTCATTCATACAAGTGATGATAAGTGCCCGAGTTCCTTCATACTCTTAACTACAGGTTGCCTAAAGTGTACCTGTACTGGGGAAAAAAGACAAAGATGACCAGTGGCAGTGGACATCACAATTGGCACTGGAGTCACCAGGGGTTCCTTTGTAAATACAGATTTTATGAAAGTCTGCATTTGCCTAAACTAGTATTCTGCCCCTGGCTTTCATGTGCTCGAGCCTGGTGATAGGCAATGGGAAGGGGGCTGCTATCTCTAGAGGTCGGGGTATCTTCTGAGTGATGGTGTAAGGTAGAAGTGAAGCCTGAAATCTGACTCTGCTGAAGAGATCAGTTTTGTCCTTTCATATCCAGTACAGGTATACTTTATAAACCTTTTCATAGAGGGGTGCTCCACTCTGTTCAGGGGATTTGTGAACAAAACCCCTGCTTAATCAAAGCAGAACGGGGCAGATACCACTTTTGTGAGATCCGTGCACATTTAGTTTTTGTCTGGATTTTGACAGTAGACAGTAGCGGACTCTTGTTGGATCTACAATGCATCCAGAAAGTATTCACAGCGCTTAATTTTTGCCACATTTTGTTATGTTACAGCCTTATTCCAAAATGGATTAAATTAATTTTTTTCCTCAACATTCTACAAACAATACCCCATAATGACAACGTGAAAGAAGTTCGTTTGGAAATCTTTGAAATTTATTAAAAATAAAAAAAAAAACACATGTACATAAGTATTCACAGCCTTTGCCATGACACTCAAAATTGAGCTCTGGTGCATCCTGTTCCCATTGATCATCCTTGAGATGTTTCCACAACTTGATTGGAGTCCACCTGTGGGAAATTCAGTTGATTGGACATGATTAGGAAAGGCATAAACCTGTCTATATAAGGCCCCACAGTTAACAGTGCATGTCAGAGCACAAACCAAGCCATAAAGTCCAAGGAATTGTCCGTAGACCTCCAAGACAGGATTGTATCAAGGCACAGATCTGGAGAAGGGAACAAAAACATTTCTGCAGCATTTAAGGTCCCAATGAGCACAGTGGCCTCCATCATCCATTAAATGGAAAGTTTGGAACCACCAGGAATCTTTAGAGCCTTAGCCAGGGTGGTAACCAAGCACCCGATGGTCACTCTAAAAGAGCTCCAGCATTTCTCTGTGGAGAGAGGAAAGCCTTCCAGAAGAATAACCATCTCTGCAGCACTCCACCAATCAGGCCTGTATGGTAGAGTGGCCAGATGGAAGCCACTCCTTAGTAAAAGGCAATTGGCAGCTGGAGTTTGCCAAAAGGCACCTGAGGGACTCTCAGACCATGAGAAACAAAACTCTCTGGTCTGATGAAACAAAGATTGAACTCTCTGACCTGAAAGCTAAACGTCATGTCTAGAGGAAACCAGGCACCTCTCACCACCTGGCCAATACATCCTTACAGTGAAGCATGGTGGTGGCAGCATCATGCTGTGTTTTTCAGCAGCAGGAACTGGGACACTAGTCAGGATTGAAGGAAAGATGAATGCAGCAATGTACAGAGAGATCCTTGATGAAAACCTTTTCTAGAGCACTCTGGACCTTGGGCGACGGTTCATCTTTCAACAAGACAACGACCCTAAGCACACAGCCCACATAACAAAGGAGTGGCTACAAGCCAACTCTGTGAATGTCCTGGAGTGGCCAAGCCAGAGCCCAGACTTGAACCCGATTGAACATTTCTGGAGAGATCTGAAAATGGCTGCGCACCGACGCTCCCCATCCAACCTGATGGAGCTTGAGAGGTACTGCAAAGAAGAATGGGAGAAATTGCCCATAAATAGGTGTGCCAAGCTTGTAGCATCATACTCAAAATGACTTGAGGCTGTAATTGGTGCTAAAGGTGCTTCAACAAAGTATTGAGCAAAGGCTGTGAATACTTCTGTACATGTGTTTTTTTTTTTCGATTTTTTTATTTTTAATAAATTGCAAAGATTTCCAAATGAACTTCTTTCATGTTGTCATTATGGGGTATTGTTTGTAGAATGTTGAGGAAAAAAATGAATTTAATTCAGTTTGGAATAAGGCTGTAACATAACAAAATGTGGCAAAAGTAAAGCACTCTGAATACTTTCTGGATGCACTGTATAGACTGCCAGATGTAAATGGACGTGTGTCTGTTACATCAGTTTACCTCCAATCTGTTTGGTCCAGAAAAACAGAAAAGGACGCAGTCTTTTTCCATATTTTTTCCAGATTCAAAGGTAGGTGGATATAAACAGATACACGTTTCGTTAACATCCGCCTGCCCATAGAGCTGCATAGAGCTTCCAATTAGGTCTGCCTGAAAAACTAACAGGTGTACCTGATCAGAAAGCCCGTGTGACAGGGCCCTGAAATAAGCCTGTTTCACACAGATTTCAGCTTGTATATGAGCAGTTTAAAGGGCGCTTTGACAAAGCAATTGCAGAGCTTTCAGCAAGCTTTGTTGAAGCTTTTATAGTACCATTCAGGACCAGTTTGTAAATATTGAACACAGTTCCTAATGGGAGGGCTGATTGTCACCTTAAGCAAGCTGATAGCAGGCTTCAACACTTCCTGAAAAACTTGTTGAAAGGCTGCTGAAGCCTGCTATCAGCTTGCTTAAAGTGACAATCAGCCCTCCCATTAGGATCTGTGTTCCACGTTTACAAACTGAAGCTGAATGGTTTTTGAAAAGCTTCAACAAAGCTTGCTGAAAGCTCTGCAGATGCTTTGTAAAAGTTTGCTTTTCACACTGCTCATATACAATCTGCAGCCTGTGTGAAAAAGGCCAACAAAGAAAAGATTTTTTATTTTTAGATGGAATAGAGGTTTATTCAATTTTCTTTTTGCCTGATTCTCCCTCACTTCTTGCAGCAATAACCATACTTTTATTCTGGCCATAGATAAGTCACTTTTCTAGTTCAATCAGCAGTTTGAACGAAGAAAAAAAAGCATGATCAGAGTGGGCGCAAATACCTAGTGCATTATCTTTAGCATCTTATTAAAGGGTATAAGAAAACATAATATACTCAAGTGGGCTATAAGCATATAACAAGCACCGAGCACAGGATGTTTAAAGTCCGCTATCCAACTCCAATTGGATGACACTGCCCACTGATGCATTTCGGGAAACTGGCCCCCTTCCTCAGAGCAATGGCTGGTGACTCCCCAACCTCGACCCTCTTAAATAGTTATGTAGGAAACCACTCCAATCCTCCCCCTTTCCCTCCCCATCTGAATGGGTGTGGTTTCCTACATAACAATTTAACAGGGTTGAGGTTGGTGAGCCACCAGCCAAAGCTCTGAGGAAGAAGGCCAGTTCACCGAAAAGCGTCAACTGGCAGTGTCATCCATTTACAAGTTGAAGTTGGAGAGTGGACTTTATAATCCTGTGCTCTGTGCATTTTATATGCTTATAGCCCACTTGGCTTGTGAGTATATTATGTTTTCCTATACCTTTTAATAAAGTGCTAATGATAATGCACTAGGTATTTGTGCCCTCTCTGTTTGTGTTTTGTACAGTGTTGGATTACCCCGATCTGAGGAGGGCTTCACCACCTTATTCTTCCAGTCCAAGCTGCTTAATCCCTTTTGAGACTTTTCGGTAATATGACAGGTTCCTCTCAATTCCCCCATCCATACATTTGAGGTGGATGGGGGAATCCTCCCTGCTGCACTATTGTATTCTGACAGCAGGGAGACAGCTATAGCCAGTGGTGCCAATCGAGAGCCAAACAATCCATCATTAGATCGACTTCTGTACAACCACCCTGAACATACATGGACTGAACATTGTGTGATTAGTGAACAGTGAACAGCAAGCACATTCTGGTGCAGGCCTTTTACCTCAACTATTCCTTTGTCTTTATACAAACCAACAAAATCAAGGAATTTAGCTCATCAAAACCTAATGATAAACATTGTAATGCGATCCCAATTCATCACAAAGAAACAACAATCCACTTAGAGTAAAATAATGTGTATTTTCAGAACTCTTACAATGGTCTACCCTGAGTTGGCCGAGATACAGAACAGGTCCTCTTGCCCATGGGTGCAATTCTGTCTTTATATCATGAAGCAGGGTGGGGGATGGGGTATTCTTCAGAGTGGCAGAACAAATCCTGTAAAAAATGTGTATCGAATTTTCATGTTTAAAAAAAAATAGTTTTTAAAACAAAATCAGGAAGTAGATTTGTTATTTTTTCACAACTGTTTTGGCACAATAATTAAAATATTTACAATCCATAAGACGATTTTTCAAGATTTGCTTTTATAGCTGAAAAAGGTTTACATTTTCTTTTGGATGGTGAAAAAGTCATCAAAGAAATGCTGATGAAATAAAAGTGCAGAGCGCGGATTGTGCGGAGGGTTGTCTGTACGATTTCCGCCACTCAGAAGGACACCCAGAAAGGATGGTGTGGCCCGCAGGGCAGTCAGGGTCTCCATCTTGTGTTAACTGAGTAATGGCCAGCAGGGTTAATACAAGAAGGGGGCCACCATTGGACGGGAGATTTTGGAGGGAAGAATTAAAAAAAATATTAAAACAAGTGACAGTTCCCTTTAAAAATATATGTGCTTGATAAGCACTATTTCAGTCTAGACATCATTTTGTTCACAGTGACTGTAGATATATATATATGTACAGCTACATATATATATACGTCCCCACACTTCTCCTGCAGGTGTGTGTTTAATAAAAAGAAACATACATAGGTATATAGGTATTAAATATAGATTTCTGAAATGTGCGGCTGTCCCGCCGTCTCCTGGAAGTCCCATGTGTCTAGTCTCTGGAGACGGTCGCGCAGCGGTGCCGTAGCGTCCTTGAGTATAACGAGATCGGAAAAGGATCTCCCCGTGTATATAGAAAAACACAAGAAATGGGTGGAGGCACATGGTCTTCATCTCTACAGTGTCGTGTCTAAGCTTGTGCTGGCTGGAGAGCAGCGTCGATTAGCGTCTGGCGCTGAGGCGCTCACTCATCGCTGTCGGCGTCCGAATTCTCCTGTTTGGCATTGGATTCCTCCTCCTCCCGGATGGCCTGGATGGGCTCTGACAGCTCCTTCTCACCGGCCTCCATCTTCTGCTCTTCCTCGATCACTTTCTTCCACATTTTGTGGTTCTCCATCAAGTGATGTGTAATCTGACAGTAGATTTTTCTTTTGCACTTTTTCTTTTCTGTATGTGAGAAGGAGATTGTCAAAGATCAACTCAAAAATCACTACAAATCAAAAGCAATTACACCAATCAGTACAGATAACAGAATAGGATACCAGCTGCCAAATCAGGTATAAAACAAATATGGTAAATCATTCTGTTTGATAATCTCTGTACAGCACTGTAGAATACAGGCGTACCTCGGGATACACATTTAATGCGTTCTCCGGGACGTTTCGTATTGCGAAAAAATTGTAAACCGAAACGCGGTTTCCCATAGGAATGCATTGAAAACCAATTAATCCGTTCCGGAAATCAGAAAAAAGTAACAAAAAGTCTTTTATCTGCTCAAAACTCTTTATAAAGTGCACTTTAAAGGCATAAATACTGTACAGGGACATGAATAAAAATTAATTCGTAAATGCATTGAAAACCAATTAATCTGTTCTGGAGGTCATAAAAAAGTAAAATAAAAGTCTGATCTGTTCAAAACTCTTTATGAAGTGCACTTTAAAGGCATGGGGCCAGCGCTATAAACCTCCCAGGTGCAATGCATCCTGGGGAAGCTTACTTTTGTATTGCAAAACAAATTTGTAAACCGAGGCATTATTTTCAATGGATTTTCATTCGTAAACCGAAAATTACGTTAACCGAGGTACGCCTGTATACAGTATCAGAGCTATTTAAATGTAAAATAAAATTAATGCTTCACTGTGGATGGACATTACAGTGTAAGCTCCTCTGGTACAAAGATTGATATGACTGGCTCAGTGTTCTCTGTACAGCACTGTTGAATATGTCAGAGCTATAAGAATGTATTATAAAATAGTGTATGACTATGGTAGGACATTAAAGCATGAAACTTCTCTGGTGCAGAGACAGATATGTCTGGCTCAGTGTTCTCTGTACAGCCCTGTGAAATATATCAGAGCTATATAAATGTATAATAATAGTGTGTGGGGGAAATTAGAGTGTGAGCTCCTCTGATGCAGATAATGATGTGGCTGGCTCAGTGTTTTCTGTACAGCAATGCAGAATGTCTCAAGAGTTATATAAATGAATAATTAAAAAGTGTGTGGCTGTGCTGGGAAATTTGAGTGTAAATATTTGTTTATTTCAAATCTTACAAACACACAGCTTGTTAATAAAAACATATTTACATATATACAAAAAATAAAGTAAAAATGAATATAATATATATATATATATATATATATATATATACGAAACAAAACAAACTTACATCAGCAAATAACAGAAAAGAAAATGGCTTTTTTCTGAAAATAACATAAATACAACTATATACAAAGAAACTAATAAATGATGCAAAACACAATTGTACCTCCACCTAAACACACCCACAGGCTAAGAAATGATAAAACATTTATCCCATGTATGCAGCCTTTTTCCAAAAATATGATCTTATAAAAATCTCACAGACTGACAGACAGCGGTTACGGGGACCTGACATTCCTCCACGCCTTTGTCCAGGCCCCAGGCCACCACCTGTCCTTCTCAAGACCCCCAATCTTCCCAACCTCACCTAGAAGGCACCTCCACCTCAACAGGAAGGACTTTTTTCCGCGTGGATACCTAACACCGTGCATTCCACGTGTTGTAACAGACTACTGAGCTAACTAGAAAAAGTGTCTCAAAATCCCAGTGAGCTTGAAAGGCTCTGTAAGACCACTCTGCGTAACTCAAGTGAGAAAAGAAAGCCATACCCAGAGCCTCACCCACCCCCATGTAGACTTCTATATTGAAGGGGCACTGAAGCAAGAAATGGTCCATTGTCTCCTCCACCCCACCACACTCCACTCTTAGATAACCACAGTTCTCCACAGAGCAATGCTTCAGGTTTTCTATCACATATAGCCTGCCACAGAAAGATCGCCAGGCCAAATCCCGAAACTTTAAACACATTCTCTCCAGATTCATCAAACGCAGACCCTCCCTCATAACAGGGCCTGTGCAATCCTTCAAGGTTAGTGGCTTGCTAAAGGTGGATTCAACAACCCTCCTCTCCAGGGCCTTCCTAGGAAGAGACTTAATTTCCTCCGCCGTCACTTGCCACTGCCAAAACATTTTCAGGCACGGTGCAATATAAGCCGGGAGCTTACCATGTTTGACCCTCAGGCTTTTCACAGGCCAACCATTCTCCCAGCTCCGCAGAAAAGGCCTAAACCAGGACTGAAAAATACCAACCCACCCAGGCGGTTCCCCTGCCAGCATGCTACCAAAATTATGTTTCAAAAACATCAGAGAAAAGAAAACCACCGGGTTGACCATACCTAGGCCACCCACCCGCCTGGGAAGGTAGGTTACAGACCTCTTAACGAGGTTCAGTCTGTTCCCCCATAACAGCTGGAAGAAACAACTGTAAATCTTCGCATAGAGAGACAATGGCAAAACACAGACAAAGCTGACATACAGAAATACTGGAATCAGATCAATCCTTTCCCTGTAAGAGAGTTTCCAATCCTTCCAGCTGGCAACCTTGGCATCGGCATTTTGTAGCCTGCTTACCCAATTTGCAAGGCCGTAATCTCCAGGACCAAATTTGATGCCTAAAACTTTAATTTCCTGCCGGGACTCTGGGAAGGCATCCGGTAGCTCAAAGCCTTCGCCTTCCTCTCCCACCGGAAGACTTCACTCTTATCCTGATTGATCTTTGAGCCAGATTCCTCAGCATACTGTTCTATCACTGAAACCACCTCCTCCGCCTCCTGCGTCTCAGAGATGAGAACAGACATGTCATCAGAATAGGCCACGACCCTCAGAGGAGGCTCCCCAGGAATGCCGAAAGGAACTCCATACAACGGTCCGCTCTCTAACCTCTGAATGAAGGACATTCGAGTGTAAGTTGCTTTGGTGCGGATAATGTAGAGGCTTTTAATGTTTATTTTAGGCTTGGTGTGTCTTGTTTTCTATTGGAATCTGATTCTCTTATAACTCCTTGAAGCTGTGTTAATGTCAACTGTCATATGCAAAAGCAATTCCAATATTTTTGAAATATCATTGCATTTGACTGGGTGTTCAATAAGCAAAAAGGTTCATTTGCCTATGTGTCTTCTCACCATCAATAAGTAGTACATAGTGGAATTTGTAGAACAAAATAACTTCCAAATGTAATAAGTTGTTATAACAAATTCATATAACTGATAGTCCTTAAAGGAGAAGTATAGCCAAAGCAGGAATGCAATTTGTTCTGATGGTCCAGGCTCTGAAAAGATGCCTGGTCTGGCAGCTGGCTCAGCCTCCTAGTGAACTGAGTAGGTGACTGACAGTCATTAGCTCTCTGCTCATTGAAGACTGAAAACTGAGTGAGCAGTGGTCTTTGATCGCTCAGTTCTCAGTCTTAAAGCCAGTTGGATCAAAGCTTCATTCATCTAGGCGAGTATAAATGTTTTTTTTTTTAACCCATACATCTCTTTTAACAGTTAAAAACAAGCACTGACAAGGACTTCCCCTTCTCTCAGCCTCCAGGATCCTTGTCAGGCTTTCTTACCCCCTTTGTATCTGGTCAGTATACACCCACACTTGTTACTTAGGTAAATATAAAAGATTGTATATTAATAATCCGTATTCTCATGTGCAGGCAGTGGGTACAGCTCCATATCATGTTTCATGTGATTTGGATCTGCTAAGAGAAAAGCTTGGTGTGCACAGAGTGTGTGGATGTGGGCTCCCATTTTAATGAAAGAGGTTATACATAGTATAAAAAAAAGAAAATTCCAATAAACACAGACAATCCACTCCAACTGTACTACCTCCTCCACCTCTGCCACCCCCTCCATCTGTATAATTTCTCTGCCTGTACAACCCTCTCCTCCTATACTACTTTCTCCATCTCTGGTTGGTGTTTACAGATCTCAATAGATGAAGCTTAAAGTTACACAAAATATCCGAGTCTGTATATTTGAACTGGATGGACTTGTTTCTTTTTTCAACCAGATTAACTATGTAGCTATGTAAATAATATATTATGCGCTGAGAATCTGGAGTCATGGGAGCCCACATATATAAATGAAAGATGTTTTACAAATAAAACAAAGTTCCAGTAAGCATATACAATAAACATATAAAACAGTTTAAACATGTTTACACTTTACAAATGTAAAAATTTCCCAAATCAATTAGAGTTTAAAGGGGAAGAATCATTGTTGGGAAGCATTGACTGGGGAATCTAATACAAGGAGAGTATGTCAGAGGATGCTGCACTACTTCCCCACCTGTACTACCTTCCTCCACATCTACCACCTAATTCGCCTGTAGTACCCCCTCCAACTGTATTACATCATCCACCTGTACCACTTCTGCCCATATTACCTTCATACCTTCCAATTACTCTACCTATACTACCTCCTCCACCTGTACTAAACCCTCCATATGTACTACTTCCTCCACCTCTGTCATACCCTCCACCTGTACTAAACCCTCCACATGTACTACCTTCTCCACCTCTACCACCTATTCCACCTGTACTGACTTCTCATCTGTACATAAAGAAAATCTACCCTTGGCAGACATTTCTGTAAAATCTGATTTAGGATCTGTATGTAAACCTCCAGCAGAACTCTCATCTCTCTCCAGACCCTGGATACCGGGAGGATGTATTCAGATTAGATTATGAAATCACGTGTAGGCCTCATGCATGCTGGATAATTTTGACTTTGCTTTTAGGGGCTGCAGGCATTTTTTTCTTGCCTCTACATTCCCTGTCTGTTGGCCTATGTGTCCATGCACACGTAGGCATTTATAGGAGTTCAGAGGCAGGAATGTTTAGAGGCAGAGAAAAAAAAATGCTGGCTGCGTGTCAAGAAGCAGCGATGTTTTGGTGAAAAAAATACTTCATGCCTGTAAATCTATGTTAACATGTCAAAATGTGCATTAATCCGTTTACCACCTCAGCATTTATTCATTTCAATAGCAAGAATAAAATATTATTCTGGCCAATGAAATTAATTAACACCCACGTGCTTTACGCTCCTAAATGAGCCTAAACATGTTACAGACATTTACAAGAGTCAAGCGTTTTTTCTGCCAAAACACTGATGCCAGGAGGAAAGGCGTCTAGGAGTGACAGCAAAAACGTCCAATGTGCATGAGGCCTTCTTCTTTAGTATTATAATGATTACAATGACATGTGTACACTCTATAAGTAGGGAGGAGACAGACAGATACAATGAGAGGTTCTTACCCTTCCCTGAACTTATCCCCCAAAAGGCATCTCTGAAACAACAGAAGATCTGAGAGGACATACTTGTTATCGTTTCTGAGGCTTCGGACGTTTCCTCCTCTGTAGTATCAGTATCTTCATCCTGTTCATCCGTATCCCCAGATTCATCGCTGTCCTCAATCCATTTTCCTGGCATCAGACCCGCCGAGTCATATGAGTTACACAAAGGCCCCACAATGTGAGTTATGAACGATTCTTGAAGTTTGGCTAACTGGGGGGCCGAGCGGTCCATGAACGGGCTAATGGGGAGGCCGAGGCTCGCCTCTTCATCCCCCTATAGAAGACACAAGAGATTTCTTGACACAACCGCCACCTTTTTCATCATTCTTGAAGTGCTCCTGTGCCCAGATTATGAAAATGAAACTTTAAACATACTCTTATGAAGCAGTAAAAGAGCTTTAAAAGAAGATGTCTCTGACATTCCCAGCTGCTTTTAGCCCCCATTCACACTACTATAGCACAACGTCAGGTGCTGCACATATGCACTATTTTGCCTAAGGTAGCCAATTCTTCTCAATGGACAGTCCCACACAAGTCAAACATGACAGAAGCTCATGTATCTTTTTTAGCTTGGAGCTTTGTATGTTTTTTAAATGGGCTTTTGCCATGTTTGTCATATGTTGTAGCACAAAACTGTGCTTCTTGATTGGCATGTTTAGGGTGCCATTAATAATGAATGCTACACTAGTGTGAATGCGGGGTAACCCTTTCATGATGAAGATAAAACAAATTTTAACACCTCACTCAGCGTTGAAACTTTGGCAAGTTAGCAAAACTGTACATATCATTGTAACTACTTAGTATATCCAGCTGAACTATGCCTTGTATTTTATCAGAACAAATTGGGCTTTCATTTGGTAAATTATAATGGATATCTCCTGATCTTTTTTTAATTATCAAATGAAAACTAGTCCAAAAAGTTATACTTTTGAAATTTAGCTGTATAATTCTTTCCATTACCATAACCTAAAATAGGAAGAAGGGTCAGCCACACACCGCAGGATAGATCAATATAGTGAGTATTTATTAATCCATAGGACACACAAAACACCAGGACATGAATACAGGACCTGTTAATGCATTAACATGATCTCCTGTGTAATCATGATTAAGCACAAGATTGTGTTAAGGCGTTAACAGGTCCTGTATTGATGTCCTGGTGTTTTGTGTGTCCTATGGATTAATAAATACACACTATATTCATCTATCCTCCGGTGTGCGGCTGATCCTTCTTCCTATTGCATCGTGTGTGGTGACGAGCCAGAGCCTGCACCTGTTGTGGATTGATCTGGATTGTTTGCCTGAGCGGTATACCTTTTTTCTTTGGATTAATTACCATAACCTACAACCATGGAAGAACCCAATTTTCCTTCTCCTGATGATCACAGCGATACCACATACAGGTGAAACTCGAAAAATTAGAATATCGTGCAAAAGTTCATTTATTTCAGTAATGCAACTTAAAAGGTGAAACTAATATATGAGATAGACTCATTGCATGCAAAGCAAGATAGTTCAAGACGTGATTTGTCATAATTGTGATGATTATGGCTTACAGCTCATGAAAACCCCAAATCCACAATCTCAGAAAATTAGAATATTGTGAAAAGGTGCAATATTCTCGGCTCAAAGTGTCCCACTCTAATAAGCTAATTAAGCCGTAACACCTGCAAAGGGTTCCTGAGCCTTTAAATGGTCTCTCAGTCTGGTTCAGTAGGAATCACAATCATGGAAAGACTGCTGACCTGACAGTTGTGCCGAAAACCATCATTGACACCCTCCATGAGGAGGGAAAGCCTCAAAAGGTAATTGCAAAAGAAGTTGTATGTTCCCAAAGTGCTGTATCAAAGCACATTAATAGAAAGTTATGTGGAAGGGAAAAGTGTGGAAGAAAAAGATGCACAAGCAGCAGGGATGACCGCAGCCTGGAGAGGATTGCCAGGAAAAGGCCATTCAAAAGTGTTGGGGACTTTCACAAGGAGTGGACTGAGGCTGGAGTCAGTGCATCAAGAGCCACCACACACTGACAGATCCTGGTCATGGGCTTCAAACGTCATATTCCTCTTGTCAAGCCGCTCCTGAACAACAAACAACGTCAGAAGCATCTTACCTGGGCTAAAGAAAAACAGACCTGGTCTGTTGCTCAGTGGTCCAAAGTCCTCTTTTCTGATGAGAGCAACTTTTGCATCTCATTTGGAAACCAAGGACCCAGAGTATGGAGGAAGAATGGAGAGGCACACAATGCAAGATGCTTGAAGTCCAGTGTGAAGTTTCCACAGTCTGTGTTGATTTGGGGAGCAATGTCATCTGCTGGTTATGGTCCACTGTGCTTCATTAAGTCCAGGGTCAACACAGCCATCTACCAGGAGATTTTGGAGCACTTCATGCTTCCTTCCGCAGACGAGCTTTATAGGGATGCTGACTTCATTTTCCAGCAGGACTTGGCACCTGCCCACACTGCCAAAAGCACCAAAACCTGGTTTTGAACCCCATAGAGAATCTATGGGGTATTGCCAAGAGAAAGATGAGAGACATGAGACCGAAGCATCCCGGTCTTCCATAACACCTCAGCAGTGCCACAGGCTGATAGCTTCCATGCCACGCCGCATTGAGGCATTAATTGCTGCAAAAGGGGCCCAAACCAAGTACTGAGTACATATGCATGCTTATACTTTTCAGAGGTCCGATATTGTTCTATGTACATTCCTTGTTTTATTGATTGCATGTAATATTCTAATTTTCTGAGATTGTGGATTTGGGGTTTTCATGAGCTGTAAACCATAATCATTACAATTATGACAAATCACGGCTTGAACTATCTTGCTTTGCATGTAATGAGTCTATCTCATATATTAGTTTCACCTTTTAAGTTGCATTACTGAAATAAATGAACTTTTGCACGATATTCTAATTTTTCGCGTTTCACCTGTATGTGTATATTATTTGTTCTTTATACCTGTAATAAGGTACCAAATCTATAGTACAATTTTTTTTGTATTCAACCAAAAACACACATGTAAAAGCTTTTTTAAGCCTACCTAAAACATACTGACTCTGACCATGCTCTTTGATCCTATATGTTTTATAACAGAATGTAGAATATATCACTTTTTTCAAACTTTTCTGCCTATTTTCATTTACATCACAAAAAACAGAAACCCCAGTGGTGATTAAATACCTCCAAAATAAAGTTCTATTTGTGTAAAAAGAGTATAATTTTAATTTGGGTACAGTGTTAAATGACTGTGCAATTGCCAGTTAAAGTAGTGCAGTGCTGAATAGCAAAAAAAAATGCATTAGTCATGAAGGGGGTAAAACCTTCCCGGAGCTCAAGTGGTTAAACCCAAATCTAGCTATTTTACCTATATTATTTTTTTTTCACACATCTTTTTTTTTGTTTGTTTACAATCTTCTCCTCTAGATACAATGTATCATTTTCTAGATTAAACAACATGGGACAGGCTGTACAGTGACTGATCACTGTGACAGCCAATGACAGTGATCCAGTGATCAAGAGCCAGTCTTCCCGACTACCAATCATTAGTATGAGATTCAAAGCTCTCAGCCACAGCTTGGTTTCTGTGCTGGGAGTGTGCTCTCAGCATAAACACAGAAATGCAGATCTGCCACCCCACAGAAATAGACCCACTTCCATGACGCCACGTATATGCATAGGCTCTGCGGGGAGGGGTTATTGTGAAGTTATTTCTTCTCAAGGATCATCAAAGGTCACACTCTGTTTCATTCTATTCTAACAGTTTAGGAACACCTGCTGTATGTTAACATCAGAGCGCTGGCACACTGCCAAGAATATGCTCTCATAGAAAACCCAGTTACCTGTGTTGTGAAATTTAAAAATGAATTTCTCCACATTGGCAATAGATAGAAAGATGTATATATAATTTTTCAGGATGATGGATGGCATCTAGCTGGTCCCCTGATGACGTTATCTCTCTGATGAAATGCGTTGGATGTAGCTGCGATGAGACATCATCACGCACGCCCGTCAACCGGAGCCCAAGACGGTAATTCAGCCTGCTGCCTTGGAAGCTATTTTTGTGTATCTGCTGTGTGCAGTTTTTCTATGCTTGCTGCCCATTATTGTGTAATACCAGTAGAGATTCTGTTGTGGCATATTTAGTGTAATTTTTAAATAAATATGGATTTTACATATTACACTATAGGTATGCACCATTTTTCTTTTTTTGGCTAAATCCTAATACTGGAGGAGAGATCCTGATGGTGGACGTTCTATATGCCTGGAGAATCGTGGCTATAGGATATATCTAAGCGCTTGTGACCATTTATAACCTAATGGTCCACATCATCTGGTAACAGGCTCCCTAATGGTGTCACTTGGTGGATGTGAACTTTATCCAACAGGAGCTGAAGTGTGGGGACACTCCTCATAAAATATGAATTGTGAAAGGACTTTTTTTTGAGTTTTTTGGGGTGTTTTCTCACTTTATCATATTTTCTTTAAATATATATATATTTATCATATGGATTAAGTCAATTTCTGTGTCATATGAGTTTTTTATTTACATATACGATGTTACTTATTTATATTTGATATTTATGTGATTTAGCGCTGCTTTTTGTTTTTATGTATGTTTTAGCTATTGGTATCACATTTGGTTAGTGGCTGCTTTTTCTTTTAAACACTCCAGTGCAGATTGTTCAACTTTTATACAGTATAGTGCCATGTATCCAGCACCAGTCATTATGGAAAATATAGAGGGGACGCCCATGTTGTCACTCTCCTGGCGTTTTTCTTCTGCTATATTGAAATGTGTATAATGATGGTATATGTGAGCCTCTGAGGTTAAAGATGGACTGCAGGCAAACTGCTAAATACACTGGTGCAATACATACAGGGGTAGTTTTACCTGCCAAAGGAATTGTATATCTTCCTATACAGTCCTGAGATTTACACAGCCCTACCAAACTGCACGGATCTGTCTGGCAGGGAAGTAGACCTGATTTTACTCTGCTTCCGTTCACTAACATATACCAGTCTTGTCCCTCCTGCAGCCTGTTAATGGACAGTAAAAGGAGAAACAGCAGACCAATGAGCTAATTTCTCTCTGTCACTCTGCTCACTCCTACTAGCAGCATGTTCCTTGATCGTACATGAGTACTGTAGCACAGCCGATTGACTACCTGTTCTGCTCCTCGCTCCCCTGATCTAAGCTCTGTCTCCCTTGCCCCGTTTGAGTTCTGCTATACAGGCAATACAAGATGCTGATACCAAGTCACATTTAGGCACATACACTACTTGTATTTATATAATGATGTATTATGACTACAAAGCTGAATTCATTTGTGTCTTTCTTATACATCTGAAGTACATTCTTAATGAAGCCGCCCTATACAGACTATACAGCCGGTCTGCTCACAAACTGGTGGAGACCCTCCTTCTTTCTCAATCACAATAAAAGCATTTGGCATGACTTCGGAGCTATCACCTGCTCATAGAACTCATTCACGATGCCCTCTGTCCACTTCAGGTGTAAATCTTTACATTTGGCGGGTCCATTGATATCGGCCAGCTTAATGCACATCTGACAGATCAGCATTCGGTCATTCTCATTGGACCAGTCAATCCCTGGCCCCACCTCCTCGTTCACCTGGAGTAGAGGTGAGATTCAGTACACAGAAAGATCGTGTTATGGCCACTATGCAGTACAATAATTACATCAGCGGTACAGCAGCAGCGTTATGTGTTCATTTCTCTCCAAAGTGCCACAGACACATTGGGGTGGTATTACTAAAGGCAAATGGATAGTGTAATGTGCAAGTGCATTTGCTCAAGAGCTTAGTAAATGAGATGAAGGTTCACTTTGCAAAGAATACCCAATCATATGCAAGGAAAATGAAAAAAAAAAACAACATTTTTGCTTGCACATGATTGGATGATGAAAGTCAGCAGAGCGTCTCCTTATTTACTAAATTCTAAAGCAACTGCCATTAGGGAAAAGAGGGAAATCGTATGACCAAATTGTAGTGTGTGTGAGTAGAATTTTGAGATGTTGGGGCCTCATGCAGGAGTGGTGAAGTTGGATGCACTGTATAGAAGTATAGGCCCTCTGAAAGTGGTGGCACTATGTAGCAGAGGAAATGTTGGGACACTGTGTAGAACTGGGGAGGTTAGCACACTGTGCAAGCGTGGTGACACTGGAGTACTGTGTAGCAGGGATAAGGTTGAGGCACTGTGTAGCAATGGTGAAGGTGGGGAGCAGTGAAGAAGAGGTGAAGTTGGGAAACTGTATAGGAGAGGTGAAGCTGGGGCACTGTGTAGCAGTGGTGAAGGTGGGGAGCTGTGAGAAGAGGTGAAGTTGGGGAACTGTATAGGAGAGGTGAAGGTGGGTCACAGTGTAGAAGTGGTGAAGGTGGGTCACAGTGTAGAAGTGGTGAAGGTGAGTCACAGTGTAGAAGTGGTGAAGGTGGGTCACAGTGTAGAAGTGGTGAAGGTGGGTCACAATGTAGAAGTGGTGAAGGTGGGTCACAGTGTAGAAGTGGTGAAGGTGGGTCACAGTGTAGAAGTGGTGAAGGTGGGTCACAGTATAGAAGTGGTGGAGGTGGGTCACAGTGTAGAAGTGGTGAAGGTGGGTCACTGTGTAGCAGTGGTGAAGGTGGGTCACAGTGTAGAAGTGGTGAAGGTGGGTCACTGTGTAGCAGTGGTGAAGGTGGGTCACAGTGTAGAAGTGGTGAAGGTGGGTCACAGTGTAGAAGTGGTGAAGGTGGGTCACAGTGTAGAAGTGGTGAAGGTGGGTCACATTGTAGAAGTGGTAATGTTTAGCACTGTGTATTTGAGGTACAATTGTGAAGAAGAAAGTAAAGTATATCCTATACAAACATGAAATATCAGGACTTTTTATTACATACATGGAATATGCAGGCAGCCGTGTTGCTCTCACCTTTGCATTGAACTCTGCCAAGAAATCAAAGTGCTTCTTCAGGTCGGTGGCCAGAATTGCCTCAATCACTAGGAACCGGAACCTCTTGAATTCCATGTGATCTAAATTGATTAAAAAATTATATTCTGGCCGTGACAGGAAGAGATTCCATGCCGCAGCTGCGTGATGATTCTCCAAAACCGAACGGTCATTATAGAGCACTGCCTAGAAAAGAGGACGGACATTACTTAAGCTCTTCCCATAACCACTGAACGCCATTATAGCTCTTCCTTACTACTACTGATTGTATCCCCTTCCCATTCTTCTACACAATGAAGCCGCTCTTCAATCTTCTACATCTTATAGTAGCCCCTCCCCGTTTCTCTTTTACTCACTGAAGCCCCTCCTCATTTATCTACCTCTCACAGTAGCCCCTACCAATTTCTCTTCTACTCACTGAAGACTCCCCCCAATCTTCTATATTTCATATTAGCCCCTCCCTATTTCTTTTTCACTTACTGAAGCCCTTTCTTATTCATCTAGATTTTATAGCAGCCCCTCCCCATTCCTCTTTGACTCACTGAAGACCGTCCTCAATCTTCTACATCTCATGGTAGCCCCTCCCATTCCTCGTCCACTCACTGAACCTATCCCCATTCTACACATTATAGTAGCCCCTGCTGTCTCTCATTCTAACTCCTCTGGTATTTCAATATCACAAGATAAGCTTTTCCCATAATGATATACTATGTTGATAGGACTTGCATTACCTGCGGTGCGCTGGTTGCCACAAGGAAGGCGTTGGTTCTTCCTGGGTGGTCGTAATCATGCATGGCTGCTGCTACATAAAGAGCCATCAGTTCTAAGGACGGAATATTCCCTGACAAACAGCCGTACGTGTCTTCTGAGGGATTGTACATCTTGGAGAAAGTGTAACCCATGTGCCCATGTGTGATTCCGCTGTCTGAATCTAAGGAGATATAACACATAACATGGGAGCTAACACTTCTCTCCGTTGAAGTGGGTGTTACACTACAGCACAGGTGACCAAACATTTGACTTTCCAGGGCCACATTGGAAGAAGATGAATTGTCTTGGGCCACATATAAAACACTAACAATAGGGATGGCCGATGAGCAGAAAAAGTCGGGCAGATCACAAGGCAACAATCACTGATATAGATAATGTACCTATCTGAGTAATAAAACTTCATTTTTTTGTAATATTTTTTAATACAAAAGTAAAAAATGGCAACATAAAACTTGTGCGATATTTGACACTGTTTTTGACAAGTTTATGCATCAATATCTTGCTTGATGGATGTAGTAGCAATTTTCAATGAATTTTGAAGGTGAGTGTAATGGTCATGCGTACTGGGCACGCAAATAGCTTTGTGTGTAGCAGTCATTTTGTTCAGGTCACAATTCTTCCATGCCATTTTGTCAAAATAAATAAATGACCACAGTGACCTTTTCCTCTCTCCTCCTCCATGCTCCTTTCAGTTCATACAATCCACAACATCTTAGCTGCTGCCAGACACCCTTTATCAGTCTGGTAATAGGACTTACAAGGATCTAACCCCCAATACACATCGCAGGGCCCATAGAAGTGTCTTCCGTGACTAGAACATTAACAGACATTTTGGTTGATTTACTAAAAGCACATAGGCCGTGTACTTTGCAAAGTGCAGTTGCACTCTGCAAAAGCAGTTGCTCCAGAGCTTAGTAAATGGGCAGAAGCTCTGCTAACTTCCGTCATCCAATCATGTGCAATCAAAAAAGCTGTTTTTTTTATAGTAAATGAGCAGGAGCTCTGCTGACTTTCATCATCCAACCATGTGCAAACAAATATGCTGTTTTTTTAATTTTCCTATCACATGATTGGGTATTCTTTGAAAAGTGAAGCTTTACCTCATTTACTAAGCTCTGGAGCAAGTGCACTTACAGAGTCTAATAAATCAACCCCATTGGGTCATAAATACCTTAGTTGGAAGTCAGTAGAATACGCATTCCTGATAGACTGGTTATCAGCAGGACTCTAAAACTTCAGCATGTTTCATAACTCATGAAATAATGACAGCACAATCAAAATATAGACATATTTACCTCCCACTGTTAATTTGTAGTGTTTTGAACCCAAACACCCCTATGCTAGGAGTTACTAGAGCGGATTAGGCCTCCATAGATATCTGTCATATCTATATCCATTTCAAAGCTAATTTCATTCTGAACAATAATCTGCATGTTAGCAGTCCGTAAATGGTAGGTATTCAGAAATATGAATACATATAGGAAACTGTATTTGGGACTTGGTCATAAACGTGGTGACCTCCCAGCAACCACCCCTTAAACCAGATGATTGGTCAGATGGTCTCTGTCAACACACTTTATTACCACAGAAAAGGAGGATGCCAGGACATTTGGACAGCTCTCATGTACCATCAACCAAGGAACATCTGTCATGTAATGAGAGACAATAACACCTTGCTCACCCTTGACTGAACTCTGCTAAAACCAAGGGCTTTGCAAGTATTTACCTTTTTCACCTCTTTGTCTTGCTTGTTCTCCTTGTTACTTTGTGATATCTTTGTTTTTGTAAATATTTTATTTGCACCATTTTGACCTTTTCATTATTAAAACCTATTTTGAAATGTGCTGAAATTGTCTCTAAATGTGCTAATGGAAACGAATGCGCTTCATCCTTGAAAATAGTTGCTCGCAAATATAGGTGTTGACGAAAATGGATGACACGAATAAGGCATAATTGTGAAGAGTGGAATATTTTTCTTTGGGAAGATAAAACGTATAAAAGTCCAGTAAAGAGACACTATCAGTTTTTTTCTTCTGCCACATGAGTCTGCCAAGTGTAAACACATTTTTACAAAAAATTCCCCACAAAAAATAAACATTTTAAGTACATTTACAGTTTGTGTTGGACCACAGTCATAGTTGTCTTGAGTCTCATGCGGCCCGTTGGGACACAGGTTGAACACCCCTGCACTACAGAATAGCAAATCAGTTTCCCTTGTGGTCCTATTTGTGTGTCCATCAACTCCCTAGGGCATCTTATGTACATATAGCATGCACAGCAGGGTCACCACCTCTGGCCTTGCAGCTTCACACTACAATATCTATGCATTTATTGTCGCTATATACTATCTGTGTATAAATAATTTCCAAACTGACCTTTTAGATGACTAAGAACTGAACTGTGGTCTGACACGTAGAACTGTTACATTTTCTTGCCACCGCATTTTATGACATTTGCCCAATGGGGGGCAGTATGGTGGATGTATCCAACCATCCGTCACAAACCTTTCAGATTAAAAATGAATTTTCATTCAGAATTACAATACTTCATGTATTTCTACATGTTTGTATCTAAGTGGACTTGTCCTTAGATATATTATTTCATATTATCTGCAGCATGCTCAGTACTGTAATGTGTTTTTTTAACAGTTCCAATGCCTTTATCTGACAAAGCCTTCATAAGTTTTTCTCTCCACAGGGACGGCATCATCTTTGTTTAGGCATCATCCAAGGTCACCATTTAAGAGATGACCCAATTATGTAAACCCTGGTGGCTTTGCAGATCTTGGCTGTATTCACCAATGCCTGACACAGATCAGCTACTGATACAAAGTTACAATGTGACATGGAATAGAAGAGACTGAGGAAATGCTTCCTCCTGCCTGCAGCAGATGGATATCATCATCTCAGCCTAAATAAAGTCACTGGATTGAAACATAAGGATAGCTTTTTAATGATAAAAGGTGTAGCCTTTCTGGAAAATGATACTGTTGACGTGAATTCCAACACGTTTGGAGTTTAATCATGCAGACTTGAAAAGTTACTTGAAAAGAGATTCATTAATGCTATGTTAAAAGAACTCTGCTCCTTGGTTACCTGAATCGCTGGCTGAGCCGTGATCATTGACAGCATTTTGTAGACCTGGAATGGCCTGTGTACTGAGGTACCAGACCGCATGCAGCACATCAGTAGCGTGAATTCTGTTGTGATCTAAAAGGAACATAAAATATTCAGTTACCATATTGTAATTGGACAGAAGCCTCCTGCCACCTAGTGGCTGTCCTGAATATTGCATCTAACCTGCAGAAGCCCCCAGTTATAGAGCAATTAAGATTTGTTTCATTCTATGTTTCCCATTGGACCAATTATTGAATATTTCAACCTTTCTAAAAGTTGTAAAAATGATGACTACAGGGTAAAAACCTGGTGAATGGTAAATAAAGGAAACATTTCATTTGAGTGGAGGGTTGTGTGTCAAATACTATACATAGCAGAGACACAAAAACCCCCATAGGAGTCACTGTACTGTAAGCTTTGAGCCCTAAATCAAAGTTTAATTTAGAAACTTGGAAATTTATATGTGAACCCTTACCTTGTAAAACAACCCATTTACAACCCCAATTCCCCCAAAAATTGGAAAGTTGTATAAAATATGCATAAAAACAGAATGCAATGATTTGAAAGTCCTCACCCCTTTCTTTTGTTTAATCCAGAACTCATCCTCTTTGAAAGGCCTTATATCTCAGTGTTATAGGGCGCACCTCCTAGTGCTTCTGGAGGGCTACCATTGTAATGCCTTGGAAAAATGGGAGAAAGACATAGGTGCCTTTGAGGAGGACCAATGGGATAGTGTCCTTGAGTCTGTCCATCTTAGCTCCTTGAATACGTCCCAGAGGCTCTCACAATTGTACATTATTCTTCAGGCCCACTATACTCCTAGTAAATTACATGTTATGGGCCTGCTGGACTCACCTACTTGTTGTAAGTGCCGCCGAGACCGGGGCACTCTCATCCACATGCTATGGCGCTATCCGAAATTACATAGGTACTGGGTCCAGCCAATGGAAACCATAAACACGGTATTCCAAATTGCCCTACCCTTAGACCCCAAAGTATGCCTTTTGGGTGTCTTGGTTGACCCCCTGCTCACAGATCATTCTAGAGCTGCTTGTAACTGGGCTCTGTTCCAAGCCAGGAATCTTATTCTACAACACTGGATGGCAGAACAACCACCTACACACAGAGAATGGGTAGACCGCATGGGTTATACTCTACGGCTGGCGAAACTTATCTATCAACATGGGGGATATCCTGGTAAATTTATTAAGTTGTGGGATGACTGCCTGGCCACACTGAGTCTCTCCCCCATTGACTTAATTCTGGATAGACTTTTATGAGATCCCCTCACTGGGATGAGTTTAATACCGTCCCTGTTCGAGGCGGATGTGCCTGCCTCGATGCAGTGTATATTGTTGTATTTTCCTTGTTATCTGGATTAGTATTTTATTACTGTAGAGCCGACACATTCAATGTCTTGTTATCTCCAAGTATATGTGAGTGTAGTTTTTGTTTCTTTTCTACTTGTATGTACTGTTTATGAGCTATGGATGATTTGTTACTTGTACTTAAATGAAGTTCTTTGATTTAAAAAAAAAAAAAAAAAGAAAATCTCATGAGGTAAATTTGAAATTGATGCAACAACACATCTCAAAAAAGTTGGGATAGGGCAACAAAAACCTGGCAAAGTACAACCCCAATTCCAGAAAAGTTGGGACAAGGCCATGTTTACCATGGTGTAGCATTCTCTCTTCTTTTAACCACTTGCCCTCCAGAGGATTTACCCCCCTTCCTGACCAGGCCATTTTTTGCGATACAGCGCTGCGTTGTTTTAACTGGCAATTGCGCAGTCATGCAACGCTGTACATAAATTAAATTTATGTCACAAATAGAGCTTTCTTTTGGTGGTGTTTGATCACCTCAGCAGTTTTTATATTTTGCACTATAGACAAAAAAGACAATTTTGACTATAGACAATTTTGAAAAAAAAAAAATTATTTTGACTTTTTGCTATAAAACATATCCAATAAAAAATCTAATTTCTTCATAAATTTAGGCCAAAATGTCATTGCTAAAAAAAATCCCAATACATGTAAATTAATTGGTTTGCATGAAAGTTATAGTGTCTACAAATGGCGGTATATATACTGGAATTTTAATTTATTTTTATACAAGTAATGGCGGCAATCAGCGACTTATAGCGGGACTGCGCCGGGCATTCTGGCACTGGGTGGGAACTGACTAACTGCCACTGACATCCCCAGTGACACTAATACAGTGATCAGTGCTAATAAAAAGCACTGACACTGAACTAATGACACTGGGCAGGAAGGGTTAACATCTGGGGCGATCAAAGGGTTAACTGTGTGCTGTGTGTGTTTTACTGTGTGCTGTGTTTTACTAGGGAGACATGCTGTGCAGAGAGATACAAAGCAGCATGTCCATGCTGACAAGAGTGAGACCTGTGTTGTTTACACGTAGGCCTCTCCCCTGTCAGCTTTGCTGACAATCACCAAGTGCTGGCTGGGAATCGCCAGCTGGGACCCGGTGATTAACATCCCTAGTTGCTAATAGTGGTGTGGGTAGGGGGGTGGAAATGCAAATCACGTTTTATATATGTGATTGTGTGCAGCCCTGCTGCCCTGTAGCAGTACTTCTGCTATAGGGCAGCGGAAAAGTGGTTAACAACACTCTGTAAATGTCTGGAAACTGAGGAGACCAGTTTGGAATGTTTGAAAGGAATGTTGTTCCATTCTTGGATTCTAACTTCTCAACAGTCCTGGGTCTTCTTAGTTGATTTTTTTTGTTTCAATGTTCGCCAAATACTTTCAATTGGTAAAAGGTCTGGACTGCATACTTCCAGCACCTAGACACTTCTACTGTGAAGCCATGCTGGTGTCATAGATGCAGTATGTGGCTTAGCATTGTCCTGGTGAAATATGCAAGGTCTTCATTGAAATCTGGTAGGAGCATATGCTGCTGAAAAACCTGGATATATCTTTCAGCAAAGATGGTGCCTTTCCAGATGTGCAATCTGCTTATTCCATATGAACTAATGCACCCCTATACTATCAGAGATGCAGCTGCTGTACTGAGCACTGATAAGGAGCTGGAAGGTCCCTCTCTTCTTTAGTTTGGAGAACACAGCACCCATGGTTGCCAAAAAGAATGTCAAATTGAAATTTGTCTGACAACAGAAGTTTTCCACTTTGCAACAAACCATTTTAAATGAGCTTTGGCCCGTATGCATTTTTGAATGGCACAGTGAACTGTGTTCATGGTGATTTTTTGAAGTATTCCCGAGTTAATACAGTGATGTCCATCTCAGAATTATACCTGAGTGCTTTAATGCAGTTCTGTCCAAAGATCACGGCATCCAATATTGCATTTCAGCCTTGTCCCTTGTGCACAAGACATTTCTCAAGATTCCCCCAATCTTTTGATGATATTATGTACTGTAGATGATGATATATTTAAAGTATTTGCAATTTTACATTGGGGAATTTTATTCTGAAATGTGTTCCACAATTTTTAGATGCAGCTTTCATAGATTGGTGAAAATCTTTATGTTTGAGACACTCTTTACTAAAGGCAAATAGACTGTGCATTTTGCAAAGTACAGTTGCACTCTGTAAAAGCAGTTGCCCCAGAGCTTAGTAAATGAGCAGAAGTTATGCTGACTTCCAACATTCAATCACGTGCAACCAAAAATGCTTGTTTTTTTATTTTGTTTTGTTTTTTATTTCCTTGCACGTGATTGGGTATTCATTGCAAAGTGAAGCTTTACCTCATTTACTAAGCTTTGGAGCAACTGCACTTGCACAGTGCTACTGCACTTTTCAAAGTGCACTGTCTATTTGCCTTTAGTTAATCAACCCATCTGACTCTCTAAGATGCTCTTTTTATACCCAATCATGTTACTGACCTGTTGCCAATTAATCTAATTAGTTGAAAAATGTTTTTTCAGTGCTTTCTTGTTAGTACCGCTTACTTGGCCAGCTTTTTGTTGCCCTGCCCCAACTTTTTGTGTTGCTGCCATCAATTTCAAAATTACCTTATTTTTTTCTTAAAATGGTATATTTTCTCAGTTTTAAACATTTGTTGTTTTCTATTGTTTATAAAAATATTGCTTTTTGAGATTTGAAAATCATTGCACACTTTTTTTATGTGGATTTTTACACAGCATCCCAACTTTTTTGGAATTGGGATTGTAGTTTAAAAGACAAATGGAAGGCAGCAAAATTGTGAATAGATATAAAAAATTGTAAATACCTTTTTTTTCTATAAGTGATCACATGACCTCTGTTCTCAGCTGCATAAAGGGCTTAGATAACTGGGGTGGAGTCTGCTGGGGGCAGTACACTGAGAAAGCAGTAAATGGCTGTGCGGGGGGGGGGGGTGGTCGTCTCAACACAAGTCTGACCAGTGGAGTACAGGCAGGCTGTGCTCCCAACACAACCAGAAAACTAACCACACTGGGATGGACGTGATCTCATGCCTAACGTGAAGAAAAAAAGCATCTAAGAGGTGGTGAGTCTTTGATGTGTTCATACAAAAGAGTGAGAGGACAAAAATATTTGAAGAGCTCACTGGCTCAGGTTAGGCAACTCGCAACAAACAAGGCTACCTTCCAGTGGTTACCCTAGGTTTACATTGATTGCTCATTCAGATATTGCTTGCCAGTAACTCTCCTGATCTGGCAATTCACTTCTCTGCACATATTAACACAGGAAAACTCTATTTTGAGTCCATTCAAATATCTTATTTTAACTGAAGAGCTGATGAGAGGGTTGTTGTCTTCTAAGCCTCCACCCCTTCCCAAATTAATTGCCCATTTTTTAGTACAAAGTAAAAAATTAATTTGGACTCTTGTATCCTTTGTTCTGATGTTCCTTCAATTTGTACATGTTTTTTTTCTCATGCCTAACATGGTCAGTTTAAAATAGGATAGCAGAGGGACTTTTCGGATCACCAGGGATTTCACACAAAGAAAGCAATACAAAAAGAACAGAATACTTGTTCACACAAGTACATGTTACAGCAGGCACATATCAGGAATAGAAAATCATGGAGTAACAGACAATTTTAAAAAATGACTTTGAACAAAATTCCTTTATACCAGTCCATAAAATAATGTAAATGCATATCCTACA